CCACGCGACGACAGGTCGACTGGCCGCGCCGCGCCGCGCCGTGCCGTGCCGCGCCGCACCGCGCCGTGCCGTGCCGCGCCGTGCCGCGCCGCGCCGCGCCGCGCCGCGCGCTCAGGTACCCGGATCGTCTGCGAAGGACCCGCTCGTGCAGTTAGTCGTGCTGTCGATCGGGTCCGGTGACGACTCGGAAAAATATCGCTCGTGATTCCCGCCGTGGAAACCGGACGAAAAAAAAAAGTGTCACGGGACGCCGGGAAAGTGTTCGATTGACGCGTCGCTGACAGGACGCTGTCGCGAGTGTTACGCTTTCACGAGCCGAACCGTGGCTGTCAACGCAAGCCGATTTTGGACGAAGCGGCTCGCTCGAGCCTCGGCAGCCGGCGCGTTATCGTGTGGAAATCGTGGAATTCTCTTTGTGGTATTCAGTGACAGCAGTGACGACGTCCCGATCCGAGCGCCGACGTTTCGATCGATCGTCGGTTTTCGGTGCCCGTGATCGACGGGCAAACTTTTTCCGAAGGGTTCCTTCTCATCGGTCCACCGGTCGCCGTACCCGGTAAAAGATTTTTCTTTCGCAATTATCTAACCGCGCACGTTCCTCGCGCCAATCGGATTCCCGTGTTCCCCTGATATTTAATTCGCCGGCTTTTCCGGCGAGATCGGGTCCGAGGGCAAGATCGTCTCCGGCGAGGGAAACACATCGGACGACACGCGAGTCTCGCGCGCGTATTCGGGACCGTTTTGTGCGAAGAATTGTTCCCGGTGTGATTTTTCCCGGCGGTCCCGGGGACGGTGGAAAAATAAATGTAAAAAGTTGGAAATCGAAGGCAGGGAAACGCTCTGGGAGTTGTAGCGGTGTCGGCGGAGATAGCGGCATCCGTTTCGGTGCCCGTTGCGGGGCGGTCGCCACACCCGCCCGTTTGGGAATTCAACTTACTGCCACTCGGGACCGAAGTCTTCGACGTTTTCTCCTCGGTCTAACGGGTATCACGAAAGGCGGCTGTTTGCGGCGGATTAGATCCGACTGCCGCGGAAATTGCCGCGTCGCTTTTCTGTTCCCGGTGCCGTTAGACATCCGACAATTCCTCGCAGAATTAACAATTCCGATCGCTGCAAAAACTCTCGACGGCCGGGTTTCTCTCCGATCGGAAAATCCTGGATGGATTCGACGCGCCACCGGAATTTTTTTATCGATAATAGCTCCGCAGGTTTGAATCGCGGAGATCCGCCCGCCCCGATCGTTATAAATCGGCGGGCACGTCTCGGTGCTGCGTCAATCCTTCGATCGCTCTTCCCGCTTATATTTTCCGGCGTTTCATTTCTGCGACGAAACTTTTGCCGATTTTTCAGTTCGTCGAGGTTGCTTCGAAATTTGCTTATCGATCGTTTCGCGGACAATCGAAAGTGTACAGTTTTGGAATTCGAACGTTTGTTGTTTCGTGCATGCGTGTCCATTTTGCAAATGTGCATCGATGCAGTGCTCAACGCGTTAATGGGATACGGTGCATTTTCCAAATTGTACCTTCGGTCCTTTTCGGACAAAGAAACGCGGAGCGAAGTTTATCAATCGGTCCCGATCTTTCTTCAAACCGAGAACAATAGCGAAAAATCTAACGCTTTCTCTGGTAACGAAAAAAAGAAATCACCGGTTAATTTCGCACCGGAGGAAATCCGTGACGCGCGGCCAACGGGGAGGAAACCGATCGATCCAGGGAAATATCGGATTGGATCGTAAAGCGTGTCGTCGGGTTGTCGAGTCGAGGTCCCGAAAGTTTCGTGACGCATAGGGTACGGCCCCGGCTATCTGCTCTCCGGAATATCCGCACCTACACCCGGCCCGGGGAACTCGACAAAAATTCCTGACACTCCCCGGCCCGAAGTTTTCCAGCGCACCTCTGCCAAACAAAGATCTCGCTCCCTTTGATCAATAGTCTAGGTAAACACGTTTACCCGTGGCAGGCTGCGTCCCGACGCGGGTCGAAAACTGCCAAAAGTACAGCGCGCGCCAACTGCTTCGCCCGGGGATGATTGGCCCTTTTCAGCCGCAACTTTCTGCCCCGGCTTATTCGTATTTAATTTCGGAAAAGTTTCCGGAATGAGCATTTATTGGACACGGACCGGTTACCTATCCAAAAACGCGGAAACACGGCGACGTTGATCTAACGGCAGACGTTCTAACAAACTAGATATTTTGCCGCACATTTTTCTATAAAATGCTAAAAATTCGTTTCCGTCCGTGGAGCCCTTGCGCGACTGTTCGACGAATAGGCAGAGCATTCATTATTGCGGGACTGCGGCTTTCTACGTATCTGCAGAGTGTAAAGATCTTCGGTGTTTCGTGCAGTGTTCGGAGCTCATTGAAATTCGTACAAATTCATCATTGCAAATGATAAATTCTGCAAATCTGTAGTTCCGCGGAT